ATTACAGATGACCATAATTTGCTAGTTTCTTGCATTAACTATTCAATCATAAAACAGTAAGATCGAATATTCAGTATATTCAATACCTTTATTATCCTATTTCGTTCTTCCTCTAACTCTTTGTTGTCCATAGAGCTTATGTTTTTCCAACCGCGTAACGTAACTTCCTCGATTGGCGAGGGATGCCCTTATGTTTAGGAATTATTTCATATTTATTGAACTGCGAAACTTGTATATTATTGTGACATAGTCATAATTCCGAGCTGCAATTTTAAATCATATTTAAATTTAATAAATATACATTTGTTAATGTATATTATTAATTAAGTATAAATTTTGCTCGAGTGGATTCTAAATTTTATTATACGGAATTAATAATCGTTGTAAAAAATGCAATGTTATACATAATACATTATGTGTTAGCAATCGATTTTTATACTCTTTCTGTCTTGCAACACTAACAGTTCTATTAATCATGCATATCGCGGATATGTTACCGCTAAAGCTCGAAAGTCGTTACATACATATGGTTTAAAATATTAATACAATTAGGAAATTATTATATGGAATTTCGGGACTTTGATTATCTATCTGAACCCAGGGGACCGAGACGACTTCAACGATATCCTACTTTTGGACCGGAGACGAAAAATAATAAAGTTATCATACTTTTTCTGGTGATCGCATGATATACAGTGGTACCTCAGGATACGAAATTAATTCGTTCCGAAACTGAGATCGTATCATGAAAATTGCGTTTTGTAGTTGTAAAGGTATAAATAACCATAATAGAATAATAATTGATTTAAAAAATGTAGTTTTATTTGCACTTTACCTTTGAGGATAGACGACGGTGAAGGTGTAAACTGGGGGCGGAAGAGAGGGAGAAGGGAAATGATACTAAAAACTTAACTTACATAACATAATGTAACAATAACTTAAAAATAACTTATAAAACAATACTGATTTTTTATCTTTTTCTTTCTTTTTTAATTTTTATTAACTGCTTTTTGCTTTCTTTCTTTCAATAGAGGTCGCTTGGTAAAATATCTATCCATAGAGGTTTGACTTTACCTACTTTTTAAAATGTTTCTAAAATGACTTAGGCAAATGTCATTACTCCGAGCAGCAATACGGCCAGTGTGAACATTTTTGGAATGTTTCTTTTCAATAAAATTAGTCACTTTCTGATAATACCTCGAGATTTCCTTTATCGAGCGAGATCCTTCCACGACGAAGCAAACATGCGGACTGAGACCGATGAACAGAAGTGAATAAAAAAATGGCGCTGCGAACTAATGTAACGTCGTATGGTGAGTTTTTGTTCGTATCGTGGAGCAAAAATATGTTCGAATTTCGTGTCGTATCCTGAAATTTCGTATGCTGGGGCGTTCGTATCCTGAGGTATCACTGTAATTGTACAGTTGATGTTACCTATGGTGAGTAAAATGGCGGCTCGTCTCTGATTCCAGCAAACACAAGAAAGGAAACAGTGGGGACGCATATTCTAACCTAACCTAACCTAACCTATTATAATAAATTACCATAATTATTACCAACCAAATTATTAGAATAGTTTAGGTTAGGTTTGAACGTTTCCTTTCTTCTCTTTGCTGAAATCAGAGACGAGCCGCCATTTTACTCACCATAGGTAACATTATCCAATTGTGCTTACTTATTAGTGCAGTCTAAAGATTAATGACACTTTGCATAGCAATTTGTTTTTGCGACAAGCACACCTATTTGTGGTACGTTTATTTCTGGCAAAGATCTTATTTTCACTTTACCGAGTGCCTAGTAGGTAATTTGTGGATTACCTAGATACTCTGCACATTATCTAGGTAATTTGAGAAATGGAACAATTTTCACAACTTTAACGGATCACGCTAGTTAATCTGCAAATTAGCTAGGTAATGTACACATTAACGACTTTCGAGCTTTAGCGGTAACAGATACATCTAATTTCAATGGCAATAAATAAAACAGAAAGAATCAAGATAAAACAAATTTTGAACTGAAATATAAAACCAAAAATAGAAATAAAATGCCAATAACGAAAATTGTTCGAAAAGTAAATATATTAGTGTCATATAATGCTATTTTTATTATCGTAATCTGATACTTATCGTTGTAATTTTTTCTCCAAGCTTCAATTATTTATATAAAATAAATAACACTAGCTTGTTGTTATATAATTGGTATAAAAAGAATTAATAAAATTATATATACAAAAGCAAGCGTTTATTCTTTATCAGATTATAGTTTCTTTTTCAATAAACAATGTTATACTGGGAGCGCTCCCGGACTTACGGTAGAAGAATGTATTGATCTCAATGGAGATTCATCTCATAAATCCCATGTAAATAAAAGGTTGCTACTGTGCTTCCATCTGTAGACAAATAAATAAATTCGCTTAAAGGTTTAATTTATAGAATGTTCCTATATTCATTCTAAACCATGTATTTTAAGTTGATAACTTTTAAAAATTATTTTATATAATTATATGAATAGATTATAAGCTTTTGCTTTATTTGTATTTAAACATTCAAACAACATAAAACTGAATTAGTATTGATAGAATTAAATATTTAAAGCATGTTTGCCCGTGGGCCGGACACTTCGTTCCGCTCGTGTGTAGACTTTCCATTGCGAACTTTGAACTTGTATATCTCTGGTCACAGGTCGAATTTAAAAATGCTGTTTACGTCATGACATAGGACTACACCGAGATGGGCTCTATTCGTATGCAAAAATGATTTAAATCGGTTAAGCGGTTTCGGAGGAATTACAATTTATGGCGATTTTGTGAGAAATGTATTACGTAATTTATGGGACAAAAAATAAAATAAAATATTACTTTTTATAACATTAGTCAAGATATTTGTTGTGTCTTTATTCAGGAAATGCATAATTTTTGGATTTATTCTGTTATATAAATATTAATATAACTTCATCGCTAATTAAATATTTCATTTATTCAATAATCTGAGGTGGATGTACAGTAGACCCACCTATAACGCGGGTTCATATAATGCGGATTGGTATATCACGGCGAAAAAATTGCGACCGTATTCGTATAAAGACGCTAAAAGAGACTCGTAAAATCCGGTAAAACATCGTCGACTCGTGTCGCGACAGGATTGGTCGAATCTGGACCAATAGTGGACGAGCAGCCGAATTACTTACATGCTACGGAGAGTTTAGGGGGTAAGTTGAGTTTACTATCGTCTGCACAGTATATAGGCCTAAATTAGATACTGTAAGTCTAATACAGTACTGTAATTTTATACATTTCTTCTGAAAAAACATTTCTTATTCAATGGTCATAAAAATTATTTTTATTAAAGATGTCTCCAAAGTTCAACGAATTTTTCGCAGAAAAATAACTTATCAGAAATCGCGGCCGCCGTTTGGTGCGCTGCTCCGCGACGAAAACAAGCCTAAGGAATGGCGTGGTCGAACGGTGCACACTCGGTAAGTAATTCTATAATTTTTTGTTTATAGCATAGTTTATACGGATTATTCCCAAAAAATTATACGTGTTTTGGAAATGTTGAGACGAATTAGTCTAGAATCGATTAATTTTATGGAAGAAAACCTTTCAAACAGCCGTAGTCCGTAAACTGCACACGTGCAAGGCTGTGATTGGCTCATGTATTTAAGGACTCGTACAACGCGAAATTCTTATAAAGCGGAACGTATCTACCGCGTTATAGGGGGTCAACTGTATATGCTAAAACATACTGTAATAAATGTTGAATGTTTCTGGTGAGTCTTTCGGGTGAGATGAAATCATAAGAAACCATTAAGTAGAACCTCGAAAACTCGTCCCTCGATAACTTAGCACTCCGGATAACTGGTCCACACCTTGGCAGGGCGAAAAAATCCTTAGTTAATTAATTTTCATTATAGACAGCTTTATAAAAGTATAAAAGCTCTCATAAAGTATTTTTCTGAGGTCTGTCTTATCAGGTAAATTACTGTACACAGTGTATTCATTAATTTTCATTTTCATGTAGTGGCTCTATGCCTTCATAAAGGACGTACTTTTCCTTTGTTTAAGGGTATTTGGGCAGTTTATTCTCTGTTATATTCTGTACAAGTAAATACTGTACAAGTACAGTACAGNCAGAATACAATTGTATATAATAACAATTTACTAACTCTAGCCCCAGTGAAAATATTAAAAAGTTACTAATAAAACAAAATAACATTATATACAGAATATCCTTCAGCTGCCAACCGAATTACCAATACATAGGTGAAACTTGAAAAACCCAAAAAAATCAAACTAAAAGAGCATTCACGTGCTATTAAATTTAATTACACTAATTCTGCTGTAGCCATACATTGCAATAGTAAAAATTGCGAGATTTCACTCAATAATCTAAAAATCTAAAAATACTCAGGCTAGAAAAAAATATTATAAAAAGGAAATTATTTGGACATTTGGAAATTACTAAATAAAAACTTTTAAAATTAACTTAAACGACGGTCTAACTATAAGTCACACCTAGAAATCACTCCTTCTTAACAGGTAGTATCTATCCACAAGTGATTCCATCCCACCCCACCTACTCCAGATGACCCCCATCTGGTGAAGCTATTCTGCCTCAAGGATGATCCGAACTCTGCCCCCCTCTACCTTATATAACGTTAAATACTTACTCTTTTGGTATTTTAAACACCACCCACCTCGTATTTTCTACCCATAACAATCTATACCATTTTATTTCCTCCAATAAAACAACTGTTCCTTGTATAATATGTTACTGAAAAAACCAATAGCTTTTAATTTTTTAAAAAGCTATTGCTGTTTACAGTATAGCAGTGGTTCTCAACCGGGGGGGTACATGTACCCCTAGAGGTACGAGCGTAAATCGAAGAGGTACTGTACTTGAGAAACAACTAATGGGCTAATGGGGTACATCAACGAAAAAGGTTGAGAATCACTGCAATATAGAAACCTCTATATCTCGAAAGCTTCTATCTCGAATTTTTTTTCCTCGTTCCCATGAGATTCGCGATAGATATACAGATAGATTCAACTGTATTATATAAAATTGAGGTTATTTTTGTTTTTCATTTACCATAAATGTTTTGAGAAAGTTCGGTGGTATTTTTTTCTTATTCACTTTTGCTATCTTTTGAACAATGACTTCTGCTTCATCAATTCGATTCTGTGCAACAAGCCATCTCGGTGATTCAGGAACAAAACTAAAAGAAGATTCAGTTAGTATTTTATAGTAAATAAGATAGAAATATTCACAAAATATATAAAAAATAGCAGGAAAGTCCAAATGAACAACCTAATTTAAAGTACGTATATGCCACACATCTAATTTATACTGGAAATAATATAACTTATATGCATACAGAGGAATAACTGAAGATGAGAATAGAAAGAAAAAAAAGCATAATTTTCGGAAATATAATTAATTAAATATCTATTGATCCTCATTGTGTGATTCTTATCTTTGATGATTACTTTTATTTCATTTGGCCTTTTCTATTATTTAATTATTGTAAAAACCTTTATGTTGTTTCCTAAAATAAAGTAAAATAAAAATAATTTCTACTTACTACCATATAACCAAGAAAATTACTAGAGGAACAGAAGTTATTAAGGATAATATAAACCAGTTTCTTGAGAGATACGCTAAAAGGCACATGAGTGCGATGACAAATGGAAACGTTGAGCATATACACATTCCAGATGTTGATCGTTTCTGTGGTTTAACCAGTTCCATAGCTAAAAATACAAAAAAAAAATGTTTCTAATGAATATAATTTCCGACAGATATTTTAATTACATTTAAAAATCAAAATACTAATTATTATACATATAGTAGGCCTATATTATATAGAGTATTCATCATAATTTTCATATACACATGATAGAACAGATATCAAGAGTTTATATTTGACTGAATCAGGATGAATTAGTTTATGTTATGTGCTTTTTAGATAAACAGTTATTCAAGGTTAGACTTTGTTAATATTCGTTTAGGCAATATCAGAATAAAAAAATTAGTGTCATTATTTAAACCACTATTTTGTAAACAGAATTTTAAAAACCAAGTGAATTACATAACCAGAGAGTAATAGTTATTGCTGTGTTATATATACAATGTTTATCTGGATTAATAGAAAAAATATTATATATATATACGCTATATGATATAATGGAAAGCTTCTTCTAAGGACAACTTGATTGAGAAACATTTATCATGATTATCACCTTCTGTAAACGTGTGACTAAAATCATATACGTATACTTACCCAAAACAAAAGGAATCTGGAAAATCACAATGCTAGTTGTGCCAATTATGGTTCTATATACAATAAATGCGATATAATTAGGTGGAAAACATGATAGAATACCTATGATGATGTATACAGACAGCAGGACATAAAAAGTTGGCTTTCTTCCATATCTATTCAAAAACGACATTTTATCCTTATGACATAAACGAAAGTAGATTTAATTTTTACTTACACATTTGCCAAATTGCCAAAAACGATACTGCCGATAATGGTACCGAAGAAAAAACTAGATTTTGCTATGGCTTGAAGCCATCTATCATCGCATACTACGTCCATCTGTAGGCAGATAAATAACAATAAAAACGGTATCCTATAAACTACGTATATCATAATTGAATGGTACCTAACTGAAATGGATGATTAAAATAATTTATTTATTATTATTTGTGTTAATAATGTAAATAAATGTAAATTCTTAACTATTCACACTATTGATAAAATAAAAATTGATGAGAATGAAAAGTTTATTAGAAAAGTAATTTCTATGCAGAAATTCAATAATTTTATTTAAAAGCGACATAAACTAATGTAATTTCTGATAAAGAGCACCATTCAATAAGGAAAATCATGATGTAAAAAATTCATGTGAAAAATCTTATTTAAATTAATATGCAATCTCCATATCTTGATACTGAACTTACGAGTTTATCTTTGATTTTAATTTTATTTTAATTAGAAATATTATATAGACAGTAGGATGAGCTTTCATTTTCACAAAATATATAATTAAATAAAAAAATTTTTTGTGTTTTTTTTTTAAATATGTAATATTTAACAGAGCTTTCGGTCGAACTGAGAGAAAAAATAGTAATTTTTCAAGATTATTAGCGGGACAACTGTTATTTTCTCTGGTACTTCGATCAAAAATCGATGTTAGTATATTTTATAGAAAAGTTTTAGTTTATATAAAATATCTCTGAAAGCCGTATATATTATATTCGATATGTTTTTATACACAGGGAAATTCTGAAACAATGGGACAAACTTCGCGGGATGATTCCTCACTGGAAAATAAAGAAAAAAGGTGTATAAAAATATTTCCCGAAATGAGAGATTTTCGAGAAATTAAACTTTTATGACAGTATTAGGTGCAAGACATTTTATTGCATACGCTTTTACTAACTCTTTCGATTACATAGCTTCTTCGATTAGAAGTGTTTAAAATACCCTCCACGTTTGGATCTATCAGAGCATGAATTACTGCACCTTTTTAAAGGTACAAGGCTCCCAGCGAATAGTGGTTTAGGCGTCGGCAATATGTTGCAACAGCGTGTCTGCATTGCCAATGTGAGTAGCATACTGTAGTACCGCTTTTCTCAACCGGTCCATCATGGTGTGGGAATTTTAGGGGTCCGCGACAGGAGAAACGTTAAGAACCACTGCTCTATTCTCTTTGGTCCCACAGATTTAAAAAAAAAAAACAAAAGGGATTTAGATTAGGAGAGCATGGAGGCCGTACCACCAAACAACTCTATCTATCCATCTGTGCAGATGGGTATAGTTTAGTACAGCATGTGCGTATGCTCACATTAACATTAAGAGTTACGTAAGAGCGTTAATTAATAAGAGAGTTATTTAGTAAAATCTGTCTTGCACCTAACACTGTTATAAGAGGTTTAATTTCTTAAAATTTCTCACTTTCGGACATATGTTTATATGTCTTTTTTTATTATCCTGTGAGGAATCATTCCTCGAAATTTGTTCCACTATTTCTGAATTATCTTACATAACTTTCAGACATGTTTCTAAAGACATTGTCTCTCTAAATTATCATGAATAATAGATTCTGTAGGTTCTTCTTAAGTTTCTTCAAATAAAAAGTAATGAAAAGTCAATTAAATCTATTTTCTAAAAACTTCTATAGAAATCCTTCAGGCGTGAAAAATCAATTTTCAAAAAGTTATTTTGCAACCTATACTATCAATTGTATCCAGGATTGAATGACATTGCTATTTATCTGTAGTTTTTAGCTTATAAAACTTGAAAGATACACTTCGTTGAAATTGAATATGTTTTTTTAGAATAAAAATTCTCTTCGTGTTACTTTAATTAGCCCATTGAAAATCTTAGTGACAGTATACTAGCTACATCGAAGAATAGCCTATAATTACTGAGGAACTAGTTTTAAAAGTTACACAAGGTTAGATAGCTTTCCTATGTTTTATTTCATATTTGATATTAAAGAAATACACAATTTATATATTTGTAAACAGAAATAAAATTACATTGTTTAAGTACATTATCTCGAAAGACGTTTATAAAATTAATGTAAAAATCATAATTAAACACATTTATAAATTTGTTTGTAATAATTAATTAATTATTGCCCACAGGAAAAAAAATGAAAAGTTAAAAAAGTGCTTACAATAAAGGGAACAAATTCTTTCTTATTTCTATTAAAATGTGAATAATATTTTAAAAATATGTATTTTATCATTTAAAAAATAAACTAATTATTATTTCATCTATTGATAATATATAATAAGATCAATATTACGAATAAAGGAAAATACCTCAGTAACCAATGTACTGTCGTAAATAGATTTATCGTAATTCCAACCATTCTTACAGGGTACCTGAGTAACACTTGCATTATCTGGAACACCATCCAATAGAATTCGTGTGTAATTATAATCGTACATCTTACATTGACTGTATACTTCGACTCCATCTCTCATCTCTAAAGGTATACTAATGTTCTTGATTTTATCCATAGAAAGGCGATCTTCTAATTCAGGTATTCGACACCAATGATCCGGTGTTCCCGAAACGAATTCTACACTAACATACATAAAACAACAAGGAACGTTAGATATAGTAGCCATTAAACTTAAAAGTATAATTTGGTATTTTCCATAAGAGCCGATGTAAGGTAGAACATCATCGAAATCCATTTTATATATCTATATTACTATATTTGAACAGCTGTAATTCACAACAATCTTAATACAGCGGTAGTATGATTTAGTCTGACGTCAACGACGTCATTAAGTATTATTTACTTCCGTATTGGTTCTAATATTTTGAGGAAAGATGCTTCTCATTGGAAGTTACAAAAGACGATTGATGATGCATTCGAAAGAGAAATAAATCATTTTCTAGAAGATGTTTAATTAGTTTCAATGCATTAATTGGAGAATTTACATTCAAGTGTTTCGTAAGGTCATTTTTTTAAATAAAATTGTGACCTTCGTGAGACAAATCTTCGTAATATATCAATCAGTTGCTCTGACCTCCAATGTCGAATATAAACATAATCGTTTCAAAGGAACGATTATGTTTATATTATATATATGTTGGTATTAAAATTATTGATATAATCTCTAGAATACATTTACAATATGTATTTACTGTACATATAGAAACGTATATAATAGTTTATCTATCATATTAATTCAATAAAAATTTTTACCTTTTTCCAATTCGTTTTCCATAAATTTAATTGTAGTAGAATTAAGTTTCAAATGTTCAGATCAAAACTGATCATTCTACGGACAGTTCCACACTAAGCGGAGGTCATTGACCACTTATCCGTATTATAAAGTAATTAACATGATTTCAATTTTTATTTAAGTAGGTTTAAACAAAAATGTTGTCTAGTTGATAAAGGAAGTTTGGTAATTGAAATTTGGCAATATTCATTTTAACAGATCTTGCCAAATTTCATGTTTACTTTAATATAGATTTTCAAACTATTAAATTTAATTTCTGTCAAAAATATTTAATCATCGTGTGATATAACATCAATCTATTTAGTTTCAAGATCATACAGGTTCTGAGTTGAAAATTTACCTGTAGGGATAGTAATTTAAAAACACTATCCCCATTTGTGAACTTTAGACGATCATACTTTTATATGGCAATAATAAAAGACCAGAAAGGTTAGAAAATCAGTTAATGGGTCCAGGTATTTACCATTAATTAATACGTCCTAAGTATTAACAGTAAAAGTCAGATCACAAGCTATTTTCTCACACAGTCAAGAACTCAGATTCATTCGCATGCATACTCAAGTTGTAAGAAGCGAATCTTGACATTGTAAACTACAAAAAAATAAATGAAATAATAAAATGCAGGACCGCATAGAGATTTCAAAATCTCTGTGAGGTGCTGCTTCACTTATTAGCCTATATTAAAAAAAATTAAAAGTAAATTCTTTATATAAAAAATTTGATAAATCGAATAGAACTGTTTAATTTATAAGCGCATAATATTTCGAAAGGAAATCTGTAATACTTAATGAGAAATGATAATTAATTATCTGATTTAAAAACTGTTTGATCGAACGAATCGGTATTTTATGTAATTATGAAACAATTTATAAACATTTAATTTCTCAAGTTAAATTGTTTAAAAACTGCTTTCAAAGAGAAAATACAAGGAAAATCATATACTGTAAATTTTAAAGTTCGTAGGCGTAATAGTAAATGTATGCCTTTACTCCATTTAAAAGATAATGGATTGGTTTTAACATTATAAATTTATTTTACTCAGGATTAATATATATTGAATTAATCGGTGTTTATAAAATGACAAAATCGAAGACTATAGAGTCTGAGCAGTCGATTAATTTAACATCATCTCGCATATTTTATCTTTAAAAATAGATAAAGATATTTATTATCATTATTTTAAATTGAAACAATTTTTGGTTTATTATCGATTAATATTTTTCTTTTATTTTCGGACATTTAATAAATATACAATAGTTAATCTTGTTTCTATTGGTTTTGTATAAATTACGACACAGATGAAGCAATGAGATTGTGTGCCCTACGGCAGGCAAGAACGAAGCTCACAATAATATGTTAATACTGTATAATATCTTAAGAATTTTCACAAATATAGCCTTATCGCATAATTTCATATTACTGATTAGTTTTGTTTATATTAACGTCACTGAACAGAAAACAGAAAAATACAGGATTATGATTTCATAATCATAATTCTTTTCTTCTGTCTCACAAAGACAAATACTAGACAAATTATCCGGCATTGCCCGGAGAACTGCAATGAAGATAATTTAATTGAATAAACTTTTATTTTAGCTAGATAATAGCATGTAATATAGGCCTACAGGGTTGGACAAAATGCATAATAGGAAGCAAACAAGACATTATGACATAATGGAATAATAACAGTATACAGACAAAGATACGCCATTTTTGTACCATGGACATCAAATTTCATTTCTTCAATGTCCACCTTCGCGAAAAAACACATTCCTCCAAATACTGTGCCATCAATTGTTGTACAACTTGTATTTTGTAAGTATGAAAGTGTAAAGTATCGTGGATGATATTATGCTGAGAACTAAGCTACATTCCCAGTGCCACGGTGTCCCTGATGGTTTACCGCCAAGGAGTTTGGATTCGCATATTTCGGACCTCCTGCACCTGCAGAGGTGTCTACCGTGTCCTTAGATGGTCCGTGCTTTTTTCGTTACAGCATGATGCGGTGCTACAGAACTCTTTCGGGCATGTTACGATTCCGATAGTTGAGGACTTTGAGGGAAGCATTTTTGCTCAACCCTATACAACGCATAACACAAAATTTTGTTACATGGTTACAAAACTATACGTGAATGGTTTCCTATAGAAATTTCAAGAATGAGTATATATCATGTATATATCAACAATATAACCAAAATCGAATCGTTAGCCAAATTTAAGTCTAAACTGTCGGATATTTTTCGGTTATTATCCACTCGAAGCAGAGTTCGAATTCCCTTTCGAGTCGATCGCTTCAACAGAATTTTTAAATTTATTTAATTAAATTCAAAAATTAATTTCTAATTATTAATCTCTACACAGAGCTGCAGCTTAATCATCTGTCTTTAGGACAATTTAAATTTTAATTAATTTAAAATATAATTCAATATATCATGAGAAATATTCTGCATTGTGTATACTGTTTATGTGTTTTATTTCAGAGAGAAGATTAACCGTTTTATCTTCAAAAACTTTAACATTTTAATAATATTTCTTCAAGAAATAAAATCTTCAATTGTAACATTGTCAATAAATTTATATATGTAATTGCGTATTAATATAGATGTTGGAACTACATGTAAAGAGTTATTAAGAACAAATTTTATTTTGCCAAAATTTTTAACAAATTTAAAATGGCCAAACCATTTTTAAACATCATTGACAATATTTCTTTTTGACATAATATTGTTTTAATTAATCGAATCGATCCATATTACATACAAAACTTTATTCTTTCAGAGCTATCAATATTGAGAAACTCGCGATATCAATTTATCGACATCTTATTAAATTATTACAATATGAAATACATANAATTTTGTGCGCCTATTTTTTTAGTATTTATCGTTAATTTTAATTGTTAAAAATCAGTATTTAATTGTTTAAAAAAAACAATTTATAGCCGCGAATTCACCAGACTGATTGAATCGTTTGTTTATAAGAATTAAATACATTCAAAATTTAAATTAATGCGATTTGATTCGTATAATTTGTCTTCCCTCCTCCTCGTCTTTACGGATTAAACAGAATTTTTTGATAGTTTTGTGCACCCATTTTTAGTACTAAAGTGTTAAAAATAATAATGAAAAATAGAATTAGCCTCTTACAAAGCTTTCTATTCAATAATTTTAGCATATTTAATGCCTACTTCGTATTTTTATACGGATTATCATCAAAAAATATTCATGTAAATTTTGTATTATGCGTCGGAATAATCGATATAATTTACATATATATTTTTTTCTTATATATGAAAGTTTTGTTAAAATTTATTTTAATAAAAATTACTGGATGAATTAACTTCATTTTTAAGTCGGGGTATTAACATAATATTTAAGAAATTAAAAAAATTATAGGCCTATATATATCTTAACCAGTAGCGGATTAAGTTATCTTTGAGGCCCTACGCCCAATTTTTTAATAAGGCCTTTTATGTAAAAGTCTTTTTTATATTAAAAAGACAATAAAATCGTCGATTTATGTATTGTCATTGTTCTTACAGGGGTGCGAAGTATACACTTTTAAAACCTTCACTAAATTTTTTGAGGCATATTATCTTATTAATATGTAATTTTTGAGGCCCCTCGAGACGATGAGGCCCTAAGCGCTCTCCTAGTGTGTCTATTAGGTAATCCTCTACTGATCTTAACTGCTTTGTAGTATTTATCTGAACGTACAAAACAGAAAAATGTATCAAAATTTTCGAATAAATCAATATTATAATACAGTAATGTCATTTACATAATAGATGTAGTAGGAAAAGAACTTGCTTCATTCTCCTCTTCAATTCTAATGACTTAATAACAAAGTATAATTTTACTATTAAGTATTAAGTACAGAATTTTCGCCTGATACTTCTATTATTGTTTTTTCAACAATTTCCAGTGAATCTTGTTTTTACGTATTGAATCTCATTCGCAGTTAATATGGGGTGCTAGTGGTGGACAATAGTGGATTGATACTATGAATTATCGATACTTTTGTCTCGATATATATACGAGACTTGCTATCGATAGATTTTTCACATCAATTCTATCGATAATCAACAGTATATCGGATGATTTCTGTGTTTAACTGACTTAAAATAAAGATCGACAACAGAACTATCGATAGTTATATGGTTGATATCCATTCCTAATAACTCAAAAATTAAAATATTAAAATACTTAACATATTAATAATTTTTTAATATTACAGTATTGTTAAACACGTGTTAAGTATGAACATAAACGAGACTGATTTGAAGCAAGCAGAAGTGTTTCTGATGAAACTGAATAAGTTTAAAAAATAAATATATAATTATACTTTTCATTCGCTTTATATAATTGATACAGAGCTAAAGCTTGAGTAATTAAGAAAATAAATATCTGTAAAAATAAAAAAAATAAATTAAATAAATATATCGTTTTTATATCTTACAATATCTCATGTCTCGTATTACTAAAAATTGCAGAAAGTGTTATTTTATTAGCTTACCTTAGTAATGTAATACTTATTTATGGGAAAATATCCTAAACATTGAAATGTTAATTGCATTGGCTTACAAATATTCAGCAAATTATATACCTAAATATATAATAAATTAAAAAGTTACAAAGATATATAATAGGAATTCCATTATGTAATTAATATTACCTCAACAGTATCTTTATGGTAGTCTATACTAAA